CCTGCTCTCACTCTGGGGAGCAGACACGAGACACGCCACTCCTTTGCCACCCTTTGCTCTCACTCTGGGAGCAGACAGCCACGCCTCCCCTGCTATCACTCTGGGGAGCAGACACGGCCACTCCCCTGCTATCACCCTGGGAAGTGGACACGGCCACACCCTGTTTTAAGACCCTCTTTGGGACGCATGGTGGTTTGGTGGACCAGTCTTAGGGGTCTGAGTGCAATGAGCCCTTTGGCAACCGGGCATGATGACAGGCTGTGCGACCGGCATGAGCGTGGCGGGGAGCCTGGGTGATATTGTCTCCTTGTTTGGCTGGGCTGGTCCTCCGAGGTCAGGAGCTTGGGTGGTATAATCTCCTTGGCGCCCTCGAGCAAACTGAAGGCTGGCTGATTGATATAATTTCTTTTTAGATATACTGACATAGTTCACTTTCCAAGAGGAAATTGGCTAGAGGTCTGTACATTGCAAGGTGCTCTGTGGGAGCCAGCAGCTGCTTGGCTGTTAATGCTTCTGGATACCATAGGCAGTTCTATTTCTCACAGGATCCTTGGATCCGTCAGTATAGATGTGAGCCGAGTCTTCATAAAGTGAGTCAATCCTACTAAGCGCAATGCTTCGTAGCAACATTGGGTTCTCACTTTTAGGCACTTCATTTGTGAGAGTGGTATCGACATTGGGTGATTTTAATTCCTATGGGGGACATTGCACTGTCATTTGACATGTTGGAGGCTCTACCCGGTCACATCCGTGTTCTCGCCTAAGCTGAATGACTCTGAGCCGCCTGGTGTTGTGTCAGGTCTTTTTTGGAGCCATGCTTTCATGCGTTCGGGGTAGAGTTTCTCTTCCCATAGTCTAGTGACAAGTGGATTGGAGCAGCAACTCCAATGGTTCAATGTCATCTTCTCACGTCTGAGTTTGAGTGGTAGCTCCCCAGTTTCCACTAATAGGGCCTGGTGGGAGGTGCAGGCCGCCGCGCCCGTAACCAGTTTAAGAGCACGATATTGAATCGTTTCAAGCCGGTTAAGAACCGGTTGGGAGGCGCTGTGGTATGCTTCACACCCATAGTCTATTTTGCTTCTGATGAGGGACTTATAGAAGGTCAGGGGCGTTTCGCTGTTAGCTCCCCAAGAGCTGCCGGATGCAGCTCTTATTGCATTGAGGTCTTTCTGACACCTATGGGCTATGCTGTCTATGTGTTTTGCCCATGTGAGGTGTTGGTCGAAAGTAACCCCGAGGAACTTTGCTGATTTCTCAAATTTGACCGTTTTGCCCTTCAGTTTGAGACTAGGTGTGTTGCATATTCTGCTACCCTTCCGCTTGAATACCACTCCGATTGTTTTCTCAGGTGAGATGGTAAATCCCCATTTATCGCACCATTTTTCCACACCGTCAAGGGTTTTCTGGATCAGAGCCTGGATCTTGAGAACCTCTCGATGTCTGACCCAAACAGCCCCATTGTCAGCGAACTTAGAGGTGTTGTTATGTTATCGTCCTTTCGGACATGTTCAAATAGGTCGTCAGTCATGATGTTGAAGAGTGTCGGACTGATAATGCTTCCTTGCGGCGTGCCATTATCTAACCTGTGTCGATCAGACAGGTGGTCTCCAACTAAGACTGATATTGACCTTTCTTGCAGAAAACTTTGAACATAATTTGCCAATTTCCCTTGTACACCAACATTCTCTAGTTTTTGGAGGAGTCCATCAGGCCATACCATGTCAAAGGCTTTGCTGAAGTCTAAAAAGACAGCAGCTAGGTACTGTTTCTTGACCTGGGCTAATCTGATATCATTTTCCATTCGGAAAATGTGGTTAAGACATGAGCGGTTTGATCTGTAACCGCTCTGGTCATGAGATAAGAGTGTGTTTGTCTCAAGGTGGTGCTTTAAGCGTATGTTCACCATTGCCTCCATACTCTTGCACAGATTTGATGTGAGGGGTATTGGGCGATATGAGTTGGCCGATGCCTCCTCCTTGCCTGGTTTGAGCCTGGTTTCCATGCTGCAGGTACCTCCCCCTGATCCCATATCAAATTGTACAATTGTACGATGACGCTGGCGATGCTGTCTGGCAACCTTTTGAGCATCTCATAGCTGACCATGTCCTCCCCTGGACAAGTACCCTTTTTGTTGCGTATAGCAGTTCTGAACTCCTCCACACTGAAACCATGGTTGTATGCGTGCTGATCGCACGGGGGCTGTTTGGGCTGTGGTAGCAATTTTTCTGTCTTTGTAAACTCTTCAGAAAAATTGTTGTTGCTACTGACAGAGGCAAAGTGGGTGGCTAAGATACTTGCTTTATCCGTGACTTTGGTAGCCCCCGTTAGTTTGGGAATGCAAGCGGACTTGCGTTTCCCCCGGATAGCATGTTTCTTTTGCCAGACTGCTTTACTGTTTGTTTTGTGGTTGAGGGAACCACAGAACTCTTGCCATGAGTCAGACCTGGACTGATCGATGAGATCTTTCACTTGTTTCCTAGCTACACGAACTTCTCCTATGACAGCCTTGTCTCGTTTTAACCTATTTAATGCCTTTTTCCTAATGCGTCGAGCTTTGGCTATTCCCTCGTTCCACCATGGGATGGCTCGGGCGCCGACCTTTGCTTTGGTGAGTGGGATTGAGGCCAGTGCTGCCTTGTGTATGGCCGACGTTAGGTTTAGGCAAAAGGTATCAACGTCGTCAGAGACGACTTCAGTCGGTTCGATTTTATTGCATTCCATTCTGAATTTTGACCAGCCTGCTTTGGAGAAGTTCCACCGCTCTCTAGGGTTTGAGATTTCATCGCATAGAGGTGGGATACCGAGAAAAGTGAAGCACGGAGAGTGTTCACTTCCCCAACTGTCATGATGAACCTGCCACTGGCAATCACGGGCTAGGTTTTTGGTGGCAATAGCAAGATCTATGCTGGTCCAAACTCCTCGGGTAGGACAATGTCTTGTAGGAGAGCCATCATTCAGTATAACGAGTCCCTGTGACTCTAACCAATCCTCCACCATCCTGCCGGGGCAGTCAGAGTGGTTGGTTTCCTCACCCCACAGTGGGCTGTGGGCGTTGAAGTCGCCAAGGATTAGGCCTGAATGCCCGACCAAGTTGCTGAGTGTGTTTAGCTCCTCGATGTTGGTGGGATCGGCAGTCCTGTGACAGACGTTTGCAATGCGTATCTCTTTGCTATTTGCCATGCTGACTGAGATGACCTGGGTTTCAAGGTTTCCCACCTCTGCTTTGACCTCAGTGGATGTACAATTGTCGACGACAAAAGTGACCAGTCCACCCCCATTCTCGGCCTCGCTCCTGTCTTTTATGCGATATTGTTTGTAGCCAGGTAACCGAAAGTTTGCTCTCTTCCCCAGTTTCGATTCTTGAATTAGTATAACGTGGGGGTTCAGTACCTGTTGTCTGACTAGGGCTATGAGTTCTTGGCCATGCGACCTCAGACCATTGGCATTCCATTGCAATATTTGTAAGCTCATGATGACAGTTGTGTCCTTATTATTTGTAGTTTAAATGTTTATTTCAGCTTATGTATCTGCTGTGTGAGATAGGAAGCAGATTGCCCATAGGACAGGATGCTGGTAGCCAACTCCCAGAGTATGGTGAGTTTTGTCCCTTCATCACTGTCCTTATGTGTGTCTAGTTTGAATTCGGCGGCGTTCTTTGGACCCTTTTTGCCCCTTTTCCTCTCTTGCCTTTACGCCTCTTTGGTTTGGCGTCACTGCCCATATGGTTGCCTGCGAGTCTTTTTTTGCCCGTGTCTCAGCATTGACCTTGCCCTTGGTCGCCACCTGTTTATCGCCCTGAACAGTTTGAGGCCAAGAGTCTCCGTGTTTAGACTCTGTTTTTTAAGCTGCCTGCTCCTGCAGAAGTTGGATAAGGACGAGTGTCCCTTAACTTTGCTGTTTGTGCAATAGAGTGAACAGTTGCCCTTGCAGTTTTTGGCTGGTTTAGAGCAAGTTCAGCATTTTGCCTCGCTGAGGCAGTTTGCCTTAACATGCCCGTAATTTAAACAGTTGACTCACTGTTTTGGTCGCCTGAGGTAGGGAAGTGTCGCTACTACTTCGCCTGCCACTTTGATGGTCTCTGGGACTGTGGTTCCCAATATTGTGAGTATTACTACTCTGGTATTCCTGCCTTGGCTTTTAATCCTATACATGTCAGTTATAGTAGGATCGTGTTGCTGCTGGGTTTGTCACTGATACCCTTATCAAGATGCACCGCGCATCTCGTGTGTGAGACCCAGCCTGGCACTTTCCAAACTATAACCTGGTCAAGGACTTTTGTGGGGAGCTTGGCGCAATGATTTATGTTGTCACCTCTGACTACATATCCCCGATTTGCTTTGTGAATTTTTGTCACAGAGATTGACTTAGCTAGTTCCTCCCGTAAAGCTTGGGCCGAGACCCTGCTGGAGAGGGTGAGGTTGTAGTCTGTGCAGTAGACTAGCCTCTCCCACCCCTGCTGCTTTGTTTGGGGGGCAGCCTTAGTTGTAGCTTTGGCTTGTTTAAGAAGTCCAATGACAAAGCTAATGTTCCTGGTCCAAAGCTTTTGAACTAGTACCAGGTCTGACTGGCTGATTTCCTGTTTTGTCTTACCGGGACCGTTCTCAGGCACTTTCATTTCTGAGCTTTCTCTACTGGGGCTGGGCATTCCCCTTACGATATTTTGAGGGCTAGGCACTCCCTCTTCGGATTCAGAGTCCATTTCTATGTTTATATAGGGGTCATCAGTCCCATATCTGTGCCAACCCTACCAGCGGTTGGTGTGGAGGTAGACATGGCTACTTCCTTGCTAACAGTAAGGCCCCAAGAGTTGGGCAGACTCTCGGGCTCAGTCTCCCTGGTGACTGAGTCCTGGCTAGGGGGCGGCATGTCCCCATGCCAGGACTCTTTTTTCAGGCTTTTCTTTCTCTATTTTTTTCCAACCCCGGATAGGTTGGATTAAATGTTGTCACGGCTACATTTCTTGACACGGCTATTCCATTTTTCAAGCACTGGGGACCAGGCACGGCTGTTCCCCTTACTTTCTCAATGCAGGGGGCAGTCCCGGCAGCAAACTTTCCTCTCTCTAGCTGGGGTGTAGACACAGCTACACCCTTGCTTTCCCCTGGGGGATCGGACACGGCCTTTCCCCCTTGCTTTCCGTTGGGAGTGGGCACGGCCACTCCCCCTTTCACTAATTGGTTGGTGGTTGCGGCAACCACCTTTCTCTCTCCTTGGGGGATGGTCACAGCCGCTCCCCTATTCTCACCTTTGGGAGCGGGCACGGCCACTCCCCCTTTCACTCCATGCAACCACCTTTCTCTCTCCTTGGGGGGTGGTCACGGCCTCTCCCCTACTCTCTCTCCAGGGAGTGGGCACGGCCACTCCCCCATTCACTCCTTGGTTGGTGGTTGCGGCAACCACCTTTCTCTCTCCTTGGGGGCTGGTCACGGCCTTTCCCTACTCTTTCGGGGAGGGGGCACGGCCGCTCCCCTTTCACCTCCTTTGGGTTGGTGGTTGCGGCAACCACCTTTCTCTCTCCTCCTGGGGGGTGGTCACGGCCACTCCCCTACTCTCACCTTTGGGAGTGGGCACGGCCGCTCCCCCTTTCACTCCTTGGTTGGTGGTTGCGGCAACCACCTTTCTCTCTCCTTGGGGGGTGGTCACGGCCACTCCCCTACTCACTCTTTGGGAGGGCACGGCCACAGCCTCCCCTTTCACTCCTTGGTTGGTGGTTGCGGCAACCACCTTTCTCTCTCCTTGGGGGTGGTCACGGCCACTCCCCTACTCTCTCTCCGGGAGCGGGCCACAGCCACCCCCTTTCACCCTTTGCTTGGTGGTTGCGGCAACCACCTTCTCTCTCCTTGCGGTGGTCACGGCCACTCCCCTACTCTCTCTCCGGGGTGGTTCACGGCAGCCACCCTTTCACTTCTCCTTGGTTGGTGGTTGAGGCAACCACCTTTCTCTCTCCTTGGGGGTGGTCACGCCACTCCCCTACTCTCTCTCCGTTGGGAGTGGGCACGGCCGCTCCCCCTTTCACTCCTTGGTTGGTGGTTGCTGGCAACCACCTTTCTCTCTCCTTGGGGGGTGGTCACGGCCACTCCCCTACTCTCTCCTTTGGGAGGGCACGGCCACTCCCCCTTTCACTCCTTGGTTGGTGGTTGCGGCAACCACCTTTCTCTCTCCTTGGGGGGTGGTCACGGCCACTCCCCTACTCTCTCTCGGGGAGTGGGCACGGCCACTCCCCCTTTCACTCCTTGGTTGGTGGTTGCGGCAACCACCTTACTCTCTCCTTGGGGTGGTCACGCCACTCCCTTTCTTTGAGGTCTCACGGCCACTTCTCCCTTGAGGTTCTCTCTCTCGGGGGGTGGTGGCGGCGGCTCCCCTTCCTCCTCCTTGGTTGGTGGTCACGGCAACCACCTTTCTTCTCCCTTGGGGGGTGGTCACGGCCACTCCCCTACTCTCTCTCGGGGAGTGGGTAACGGCCGCTCCCCTTTTCACTTCTTGGTTGGTTGCGCGGCCACCACCTTTCTCTCCTTTGGGTGGTCACGGCACTCCCTACTCTCTCTCGGGGAGGGGACGGGCACGCCCCTTTCACTCCTTGGTTGGTGGTTGCGGCAACCACCTTTCTCTCTCCTTGGGGGGTGGTCACGCCACTCCCTACTCTCCTCCCTCTGGGAGTGGGCACGGCCGCCCCCCTTTCACTCCTTGGTTGGTGGTTGCGGCAACCACCTTTCTCTCTCTCCTTGGGGGGTGAGTCACGCCACTCCCCTACTCTCACCTTTGGGAGTGGGCACGGCCAGCCCCCTTCTTCACTTCTTGGTTGGTGGTTGCGGCAACCACCTTTCTCTCTCCTTGGGGGGTGGTCACGGCCCCCCCTACTCTCACCTTTGGGAGGGGAGCGGCCGCCCCCCTCCTTGGTTGGTGGTTGCGGCAGCTCTTGGTTGGTGGTTGCGGCAACCACCTTCTCTCTCTCCTTGGGTTGGTGGTCACGCCACTCCCTACTCTCTCTCCTCGAGGGCACGGCCACTCCCTTTCACTCCTTGGTTGGTGGTTGTGGCAACCACCTTTCTCTCTCCTTGGGGGGTGGTCACGGCTACTCCCCTACTCTCTCTCTGGGGAGTGGCCACCGCCTCCCCTTTCACTCCTTGGTTGGTGGTTGCTGCAACCACCTTTCTCTCTCCTTGGGGGTGGTCACGGACACTCCCTACTCTCTGGGGAGTGGTAACACGCCACAGCCCTTTCACTCCTTGGTTGGTGGTTGCGGCAACCACCTTTCTCCTCCTTCGGGTGGTCACGGCCACTCCCCTTCACTCTCCTTCTCTCTCGGGGGGGCGGCAACCCCCTTCACCTCCTTGGTTGGTGGCACGGCAACCCCTTTTCTCTCCTTGGTTGGTGGTTGCGGCAACCACCTTCTCTCTCCTGGGGTGGTCACGTCACGGCCACTCCCCTGCTCTCCCTTTCACCATAGAGTGGACATGGCCACCTTTGCTCTTCTCTCTTCGAGGTGGACATGGCCACTCCTCCTTTTCACTATCGGGAGTGGACACGGCCCTCTCCTTACTCTTTCCCGTTGGGAGTAGACACCGGCTACTCCCCTACTTCACATTCCTGCTTTCCTGTGTACCTCGGGCGTAACAGAGAAGGTGTTCCCAGTGATACTCGCCATGGGTGGCTGGGAACAGTTCCCCGTGAGTAGAACCCACAGTGTCTTGAGTCTTGCTTGGCTGCTTCCCTCTAAGCTCCTCCCCTTCGCAGCCAGGCTGCAGATGACTGATGGACAAATGCAGTTAGACTTTTATCGAAAATTGAAACAATAAAACATTATGATTCATTGAATGATACAAAATGGGTGTTCCCTATACTAACCAATGAAATACAGAATATGCGGTATTGGGTGTGTCCTACAAATGAAATGACCAGACAGGGAGAGTACTTAATCCTGCTAATCCTATTTCACCTGGCACTAATTGTGCTGACATGTTGCTTGGATGGTTATGGTGTTATAATAGATGGTTTAATGACCCTAATTTGAAGTGTTTGCACAATATATGTTAATGGAGGTGATGACATGTTTACTTTATCAAAGCAGTTCATTAAATCATAAAGACATTACTTTGTCTTACTGAAAGGTTGGAGTCCTTGAAACCTTAGGCTAGGATTTATCTTGAACATCTGTGAAATTGTGCGGCCGTAACTTATACCTTTTTCAATAGTATGTCTGTGAGATGAGTTTTATTTCTTTTGACCTGAGTCTTTCTCTAGCTATTACTGATACCTGATGAAACTAATATTCTATATTTATATTTTCCTAATATCTGAATCCTAATATATCACTTGTAGTGGTGGTTATAATTAATAATGAATTTCCGTATGAATTATTATTCCATGATACTACTTCCAGATCAGAAAAGTATTTCAGCCATACGCAGATACATCACAGAAGACTGTTGTAAGACTCTAGTACATGCTTTAGTAACATCTAGACTGGATTACGGAAATGGTCTTCTCTGTGGACAACCTGAAAGTCTCACCAGTCGTTTACAGAAGGTGCAGAACTGTGCGGCTAGACTCATTACCAAGACTGGCCGACATGAGGAGATGACGCCTGTGAGAGAGAAGCTGCACTGGCTCCCAGTCAGACAGAGATGCCAGTATAAGATCCTGATGTATGCCTGTAAATGTCTCCACGGTTTGGCCCCATACTATCTTCAGGAACGTGTTGTGCCATATCATCCAGCCATCACTCAGATCAGAATCTGAATCCCGTCTCTGTCAACCAAAGACAGTAACGTGATGGCCACAGATGTTTTGACAGCATTTCAGCTAATCTTTGGAACAGTCTACCAGTTAGCCTCTGAAAATTCATCCTCACTGAACATTTTTAAGAAAGCTCTTAAAATTCTTCTTTTTAAGCTGCTTATTCCACAAAATGTATCATTGGTTTTATCACTGTGTACAATTTTACTCCTTGTATGTGTTTTACCATGCTTTTAATATTTTATCTTTTAGCATCACTTGTATACCACCTGTATATCACCATACAGTATTAGATATATGTCAAGTTTACTAGAGTGTTTTAAATAAGCAAATAAGGCTATAGAAATCTTGTGTATTATTTTTATTATTATTATTTATTAAAATGAAACAAAACTAGAATATATTTCTCTTTATAAAATAAGTTTCAGATACTATATTTTCCTGATCACTGCATCAGAATTCGCCTTTGTTATATTATCAGGCACGTTTTAACTAAATCAATCGGGTTTGCTATTTCCAGCACTTTATATGAGACAAATACACACGGTAATCTTAATCCCTGCATATAACTCAATCTTGCTGTTATCTTTACACTTGTGTCTGTACCTTGACTTCTGTTGTCCTTGGATATGTACCTATACGTTTCACTCGGATGTTGTTTTATCTTCTGGCCTTTTTCCTTGTATCTTGACTTATGGATCTCAATTCTGAGTAAGAATATAGTCTCTAGACCTGAAACATGTGTTGGAATAAATAACTTGCAGATAACATGGTGACAATACTGACCAAACCTATTGTGGAAAGGTTTGGATGGTAGTACTGGCGACAATACTGACCAAACCTATTGTGGAAAGGTTTGGATGGCAGTACCAAAGGTAAAAACCTGAAAAATACAAAGCCCAAATTTAGTCCCAATGGACCTGAATATGGTAAGTACCACAATCCATAGCACTAAGTCATATAGTCTAGGTATGCCTAAATATGATATCCAAAACTGTCACAATGATAACCTAAACTGAATGTGCAACTACAAAATACATTGGCAATAATGTATATGTCCTGAAATATCACTTAAAGTCCACACAGTACTTAAAGCAAGTATTTTCCTGAATATTCTGCCATAATCATAAAGATTAATACAATGTCCTAAAATTACACAATTTACCAAATATTGACAATGAAATAGACACTAAAATAGGCTACACAAGCTACACAAATGTCATTATAGATTGACAGTTGAAGGGAAGCAACTCTGTATGGCTTATACTGCATGTAAACTGTATATTTCATGAGCAAGTCACTTGAGCGACTTGAACATGAAAGCTTGGCAAATTTACACCTAAATGACTTACACATTTAAGAGTGCTAACTGTGTCTCTGTAACAAGTACAAAACAAGTGTGTAACAAATACAAGTGTGAAACAAGTACAAAATATACAAATATTAAAATTTCTGGAAAAGCAATCTATTTTAATATGTCTTGTCTTATGGTCCTGTTTGAAATCAGTTCATAACACCTTAAACAATAATACAATTGTCAGTGAAAAGGTTTACATGATTTATTTATAGTCACCACTGGGTCAAGGGTTGAAAGTAGTTCCTATGCAAATTAGCCAAGTCTTAATGAGGTCAGAGGCGTGTTCAGAACCGCGAAGCTCCGCCGATTGCTTCCTCATGAAGCCCAGATCGCCCTGAACGGACGCTGAGCTTGGTTACAATAAACCATTCGTGACCAAACTCTGTTGTTCCGAGACATGCCGAATACTAGTAGCTTCTTTATTATATTCTTAAGGGTGAAATACTGTAAATATTGGTGAAAGTAAAAATGGTATTGTCATTTTCACTGAGTAGAATATCACTTTGCCTGAACTACGAAACGCTTAACCACTTAAATCGATCTTTCTCGATCATTT